AGGTGGCTTGGATACTTACCATACAAAAAGGTTGGGGTATGTTTTGTGCACATTTTAAGGCTTTGCATCTTAGCAAAGTTCTGCTTTAAAATGTAATTTTTTTGAACCGTCCCTACTTTATATAACAATTGTACAAGAAATTATTGAAACATGAAGTGCAGCTCTGGTTTTATATTTTAATATAGTTTCAGTTAAGATGTAGGCTTTGAAGAGGACAAACATATGACTTAATTATATGCATTTTCAGTTTGCTTTAACTTTATATTAAATGCTTAAAAAGTTAGGGTGAGCAGGAAGTTGGGTTGGAGCTTGTGTCATTGATCTACAGCTTAGTATTGTATTACTGATGCAACCAGGTGGAAACTGGCGCTGGGGCCTTGCATCTGACTGGCTGCCATGATGTCAGTGCTGCTGACCCGACAATCCTAACATTCTTGCTGGCTGTGTTTTATACCAGCGTGGAGCAGAATATGCAAGAGACATGTGGGAGAGATGCACTGACTTGCACACATATGGCCTTTGTCTAAGCGCTGATTAATAATCCGGCATATCCGTCGACAAACACACACGTCATTAATTCAGTCTCATGTGCATACCCCCTCAAGCGCACACTCAAGCACACTTGAACCTGAATAGAGACGGTAATGGCAGTCTCACCGGCCTAGTTAAAATTCAACCCATCTTCAAGTGCCTTTACTTGAAACTTTGGCAAATCGGTTATGCATTCATCCAGCACTTTCAAGTAAAATGTCTGTTATTAGAATGCCATGATTAAAGAGATCCATCTCTATTATGTGCCAGCATCACCATGCGTTTGTGTTAGCAAGCACTCATTTTTCCTGTTTTTGTGTGTGTGCTTAGAGTGCATGATTGTAAGTACAAAAGGCAGCTTTGCTTTGATCCAGTAAAGCCACTGAAGGAAGAGATGACAGGCCTGCTGCAGTGAAAGCTTTTAAAGGTTGTTCCTGCAGGTGTTTACATTGGATAGATTGTTCTGTCCCATAGACATTCAGCACAGACGAGGAACAGATTAGTACAGCAAACTGCATTATAAAGCGGAAGGACAACAGTAAACATGGAGGATACTTGGAAGTCTCTAAGGAAATATGTTGAGCAACCAAGAAGAACTGGTTAATTTTGGATCGGCAAGGTGTCAGTGACTGTGTGTCCAGGGTGGGCTTGTATAGATCTTTTTTTTACCTCTCACCTTTGACCCCCACCCACATGATTGCTCTTCTCTTAATAAAGCAGGATTTTCTTTCCATACACAGCCCCACTTCTCTAGCTTTTGTTTTTGAGATTGTCATTTATTTAATGGTTCTTACCCATCTGGCAGGTCCTAAGCCATTTTTATGTCTTTGTTTCATTTGTCTCTCAGTGGACATACACTAGTTTGTTCAGACAAAGATTGTATATTTATCCTCCTCCTTGTTCTAAGAAAGCCTGTGCTTGGACACGGGACATGTCCCAAGACGCTCAGGGCAGTCTTGATGACTACTTCCTTTTGTTCTTGGAGAAATGACACCTCTTTCACAAAAAAGAGGAGTTGAAGAAGTGAACGAGACTCTTTGACCTGTCATCAGCATCCCATCATTGACCCAAAAGTTTAGCTCTCCCTCACAGTCCCAGCTTTCTGTTTAAGCTCTTTTTATCCTATTTCCATTTACAGATAGCAACAGCACAGTGTGACTCTAATGGTGCCCCGTTTTCTCAAGAGACTGAGTTCTTACAGAAAGTGACTTTAAAATCCACAAGGCGGATGGAAAAAGCATGGGTTTAGATAAAGAAATGGAACGAGTGACGTCACACATGTTTTCTAATGCTCAAAATGCAAAAAAGTTCAAGAAATATCCAGAATTTCTTAGAACTATGCATAGTCACTCCACCATTTCCACTAAAAATAATGGTTTGCTGTCAAACCATGAATTTTCTCTTGAGCCAAGTTTCTGAGAGGAAAGCAGAACTCAGTTAGGTCTTAATTTATGTTTTGCTATAATTACATCCTAACACGGCAATTACCTTAGCTGGTAAACACCATCCTATCATCATGATACACAACACATCTAAACTTCTGAAGCAACAGCCCTGGTCTGACCATAATGAGACATCAGTGCTTTATTTAGGCTTGTTTGGCACGACCTTTTGCCGCTTGAAAACCAGTGTCAACAAAAGTTTACGATTTTGAAATGCTTTTCTGAGTAGTGCTGCTGTTTCAAATGTATGTTTTGTTCACTGTCCTTGTTCTAGCCTTTTAGTCACTGTTAACCCACCTGCTAAAGATTGCTCTTAGTTAAAGCCTACAACAATTAAGAATTGAATCATCTTTGTTTCACTCAGCACTCCCATTCTCAAAGAGGCTGTTTATCTGTCTCAGAGCCATGGATTTCATCAATCTGAACTCAGTTTACCTTGGCTCAGTTTTAGGTACTTCTGACATATTTACTTTGTATTCAAATTAAAACAGAACTTTAAGCTGTTTTTGGTTAAAAAAAAAAAAAAAGACAGATTTCATTAATGAGAAATTGAATAAATTATTTTCATTGTTCTCTTTAACTTCTATCCTGAATGCAGAGGGAGTGTTGGAGGAGGGGAAGCAAAAGGGTTCTGTTTCAGTCCCACAGAAAAGAGAGAAGATATGTGGAGTTTTACAAGGGAGGCTTTGGTGAGTGGGGGGCTCATCAGTGGGAGGTTCCCTGAGGAATGCCTGGAAGGTGTCAGCAAAATCTGGGAGGCTTTGGACTGATAATCCACTGGATCATGATACGCATGCCTCAACTTAAAATGAACTGAATGTGATGGAGGACAAAAAAAGTGTAGTTACTTCCCCAATACCTGCTGTTAAAATGTCACTTCTGCTTGGCACCTTAGAGTTTTCTCACAATGGCTTTCGGTACTTAAACCCTGCCCCAGGAGGTTCTTCCTTCCCATATGATTTGAGAGAGTTGTTTGAGGGATTTGTCTGACAACACAGCTCTTATACGTGCCAAAAGCTTTGCTTTATCGACAGAAGAGTGAAACAGTTCACAGAGGTCTCAATGGACCTCTGACTCAGCCTTGCTAAAAGCTGCTGCAGTCTTTGGTGTGGTCTTTTGTTTGGATGATTTAGCTTGTCTAATTAATGCAATTAATGCCAGCTATCTATTTTTGGAAAACTTCTTCTTTGTGCAGTGTGCACACTGGTTATCAGGTGCTGTGACTGCTTGGGCTCATTAGTTTGCTGAAAATAAAATCTGACATGTGATAGAGGTGAAGAAAAGGGAGAATGACTAATTAGTCTTAATGGCCCTCTGGTGCTTAATTATTGTATTGTGAATATGTTAATATGTGACAGGCTGTTCCTATTGTCTTCTCTTATTTGGTTTACTTCATCATGGAAACAGAGTAAACGTATAAAAGAAACAGTTTGATGTTAACCTCAGAGCAAATTCATTTATCTCAATTTAACTGATGTTGCAGAACTCATACAAGATTCTCCATTTGTTTTTCTTGTTTTTTTTTTTTGGTCATAAGTCAAATCTTTATTGACACAAAAATAAACTCAGTCCTATAGTTATGTGTAATTTTACAAAGAGATACGTTTCTGGAGAAGAAAATAAAGTTCCCTTTGACGGAACAGAAATGAAGACCTCATAATATTTAAGCAGAGTCCAAGCATTTGCCTTGAAGTGTAAATGTCATCGCTCTTTTCTGCATAAAGAAGTTAACTTTTTGTTTATCGTGTACCAAGCCACATCCCTAAGAGTTGTCCAAAACGTTAATACCAGCATGATTTAAATATATTCATGCATCAAGTTAGATGATAAGTAGATTATAGACCTGTCCTTTAAATTATAGGTTTCAAAGGTTGTCCAAAACATTCCAATGAAGTGAACTGATGCATGGTTGCTAAAATCATCTTACAGATAGATGGCTCTTTACCTATATATGAAAGCTGGATATAAAAAGTCGAAAGCTCCAAATGTGAAAAATTGTGAAGGAACAAAATGATTAGCATGAACAAAGTGTTATTCCTTTATCACAGGTTTTTGTTAAGGCAGAATACATACATCACTTTACTTGTTATCTAACTGCTTATTATTTATTAACTACACTGAAATAATTTATTCATCAGGGTTGCTTTTGAAAAATCTCTATTTGTTGAGCTGGAACTGTTTAATAAAGCATGCAATATCTATTAAACCTTCTCTTACAGTTTGTCTCAACAACAATAGCTGATGTTGGCTAAAATCAGCTAAATTTCTAGGTCAGAGTTTTTGAAGATTTTATTTGAAGGTTCTCACTCCTTTGCCAGCTCCCATGTTAAATAGTTTTAGTTACAAGTTTAGGAGTAATTTAACTAAAGTGACTAAAAGTACACATTTGATTGTAAAATTGGAAGAAACTTTGTGCTTTTTTTTTTTTTTAAATCTCTTATTAAGGAAATTGAATTACATCGTTTATGAATAAAGCAGCAAAAATAAACTTGCCTTGGAAAATGAGAGTTGCTAATAAATAGCAGGGTCTATCTCTCCATGCAGGGCTTCCTGCACAATCTGCCTGGAACATTGGTCACGCATTTCTCAGCTCTGTTTGTGTACAGGATGGGGCAGCCATCACAGGGTCACAGTTCAGGAGTTTCTTAGAATTTATTGTTGAACACTTTCTACTTGTTTTTTTTTTTTTTTTTTTTTTGTCTTGCATTAGCCGTATTTTAATGTTCTGCTCCCTGCCCTTGAGTGGTCAGGTTTAAGAGCAGCAGCTTAACTGTCCTTTTTGTTCTCAGGGCGTTGTCCAGCTCAAATGCTAATAATTGCACACTCTCTCTCCTGTTCCACCTGGTCTGTCGTACTATGACCTCATTCCAGGAAAAGGAAGAGAGAATCACCTGACAGGCTCATTTGTATTATCAGCTGATTGTGTAACTGGAGGGCAGAACTTCGATGTCAGATGCCTCAGGTTATTGACCGTACAAACATTAGAGGCAAATATGTAAATATGTGCGAGGAGTTTTCAGTTTCTGCAGGTATTTTTCTATGGGCAGATCTCCATCTGAATAGAAAACGTTGACTAGGGGAAAAAAGGATAGGTTTGGTAATTGGTTTTGGTGAGGAAGAAACTCTTCTTTCGGATACCTGGAAGAGGTGGAAGCATCTGATCTGTCGGAGCACATAGAAAGAGGGTGGAGAGAAAGAGAAGAGTGACGGGGAGGGTGTGTTTCTGTGTGGGTGAGAGAGACAGAGGGAGGAGGAGCAGTGCAGACAGAGAGAACTGGAGCACACACTCAGATCTCGCCTGTGGTGAGGACATCCAGCAGAATTGCATTCCTGAGGCAGCCTGCAATAAAAAGGCAAGGAGGACAGAGCGAAGAAGTGGTGACGCTCTTTAAATTCACATTTAACTGACCTCTGCTGGACTCACATACTTCCTCGTAGACTCACTCGCAGGGTTCCTCGCGCACCAGCTGAACAGCTGGCACCGCTGCCTGGTGAGAAGGTTAGGATTTCCCTGACAGAGCTGGAAGAAAGGAGAAAATAATAATAAAAAAGACTGGAAGTTTAAAACACCAAAAAGCAAGGACAAGAAGGTGAGTGTAAGGGTTTCTCGAGAGATTGTTTGACCGTTTCTGGGCTTGAGCTGTGTGAATCTTTATGTCAAGAACTTTCTCTGAACTCAGCATATGAAATGCAGAGGCAGAGGTGTTATTAAAATTCATAAATCTAACTTAGTATTTTTGTGATGAGCAGAGAAACAAAATTGGGTTTGTGTTGTATGTTCGCCGAGTTGAACTGTGTCTTTGCATGTACGCACCTGTTGAAGAAGCTAGACCCGCCACCCAAGTACTCTTGTGTGCGACAAAAGAACTCAAACCTGTTTGGGTTGAATCTTCACTCTTTGTAAATTTTGTTTTGTTATTATTTTTGCCCATTTCTGAATTTACTCTGTGTACATGGACCGCTCTTAAGTCTTATTTTCTGCTAACAAAAACTAAGCCAGAACTACAGTACACGAAAAGAGATAAAGGCTTAAAGATGAATTTATTGAAGAGATAGAGAGAGTGCACTGGCAGGCCCGTGCTGTTTTAGGCAACACATCCTAAATGCCAACAAGCTAATCCTATGCACCAAATCACTCCAATGCAGCCTGTTTAAACATTGGCTTGTCTTTATGCATGGCTTAAGATCTTGTTTATAAATTCCTAGCATGCTATATGTCAGTCAGTGGAGCTCATTAGCAGGCTGCACTTGTTATCCAATCAAGGCCATCGATTGAAACCCCAGCGAGTGCTACCATCCCCACAAGGGGGTGATTATTTTTTTTCCTGACCAACAGTAGAAACTTAATGAATGTACCACAAGCTATCACAGTGTGGTTCTTGCTATTAACTTGTTTTCAAAGAGATAATGCCAAGATTTGTTGGTAAGAAGTGAAATAACTAAAACATGAAATGGTTTTACAGTTCAGGTTTTTTTTATTCATTTAACATTAATAAGTACATTTCAATTTACAAAATGGAATCACTTGTTACAAATTTTATGAATACAAAACAAGTTTAAGTTTGAGCCTTTTTTCTTTTACAACAGAGATCCACCAATAAGAACCAAAAAGAAACAAATGTCCAAAATCTGTAATATTGAAATGTTTCTTTCATTTTAGTAACTTGGGTCAGCAAATTAACCACATTGTATAGATTCATTACAAATAAAGATTTAAGATTAGAGTGATAAAACATTTTTACACAGAAATTTGGGCTTAATGACAAGTTTAAAACCTTCTTAAAGCTTTTTTTTTTAAAGGGTAATCTAACAAATGAGTCAACAAAGCACATATTCTAATTTGTTGAATATTAATGTACATTAGGAGTCAAAGTGATGTTACTTGTCAGACAAGTTTTACAATTATTTTAAAAGCAAAAGCCACATTATAATAGAGTTGAGCTGTTCAGCTTTCATTGGCAGCTTTTAATTGTTACTAGTGTAATTACATCATTTAGCATTAGAGATTTCAAAAAGTCTTCCAACATTTCCACATCCAGCCTGTTCCAAGAGAGAGGCTGAAAGCTCAAAAAGATTAAACAGAAACTTTTCAGTCATGTGTTCAGCCTTCCTGTTATCTACTGTAAGTCTTCTTTCGTAGCCTGAATAGCCTGTAGAAATGATCTCATTTGACTTTAGTTTTGGAGTTAGTTTTAGTTTTTCTTCTGTTTTTAGTCAGGACTGATTAAGGTCAAACCAACCGGATTTCATTACCAGATACCTTTTCCGGAGCATTGTTTGTTTTTTTTTAGTCACTTGTCCAAATGTACTATTCCTGGCCATTGATCACTGAAATTTTCTTGATTTCCACAGAGTACCACACAAATTAATTTTATTAGGCAACACTATCCTCATAATGTGTTCCTGCTTCTTTTAAAAAGCAGAAACATTATTATGTATCACCCTCTCCTTTTTTAGCATCACCACAAACACTTCACCTAAAGCGGTAAACCAGCAGGATGATAACTGTGAAGTTGTCAGCAGCTGGAATACATCATAAAACTTTTAAACTCCCCCCCAAGTCTTGTTTAGTTTGCATGTGTCTTCTCTCTGCTTCCATCCATTTATGTCCCCCTCACTGGTTTGATACTTATTTCCCGTTGCATGAATGAGGCTGTTTAGCATGGAGAGAGCAGAATGTCCTCTGAAAGAGCTCATACCTTGTTCTTTGCTGTGTTATTTTTAATGCTCCTTTAATGCTTGAATGCACAGATGGACTCCCTGCTTGTCTAAAGCAGTCTCTATCTCTGTCAGTGGCTCTGTCTGTCACTCAGCTCAGATGGCAGAGAAAGCAGGTCTGCCTGATCTCAGCAAGTTATCTTTTGGGAGTCTTGATAGAAACTTTCTGAATTACTCTTCAGAGAAGTGGCTTCATTTTTGCGTTCTTATCAGCCGCGTTTCCCTCCTCCGGCAGACGGTCTCTGGTGCAAGTATAATTTGAGGACAGTACAGCCAGACCGCAGGAGAAGAAGTTTGCCATCGTTTTTGGAAGGTGCCTGGCACCGCTTTTCTCCTTTGCCGTCTTTACCTTCTGGCTCTCCTACTTTCCCCGTGTCCTTCCCCTGCCTGTGCAATGTGATGGAAAGCAGCGCTGTGCTCTGCTCATGCCGGATCCATTAGGGATGAAAGCACACTGCAGTGATAAAAGATTGATCCAGTCCTCCTTGCATCACATTCTCATCCCTCTCACCCTGCCTCCTCTTTCAACCCAAAGTCAACCCAATTTCCAATACATCAAATCGTTGGCACTTCTTTAAATAAATCATCCTAACCAAGTGTACAATTGTAAACTTTAGCCTTGTAGATTTGAAAACAGCAGAACACTTATTCTTGGGTGTGATTTTATACTTTGCAGGGTTACAAATGCTCAGGGATACAAAGATTATGAAATTATTTCAGGACTGCAATTCTTTTAAAATTGGGACAATTCTTTGGGGCATTTCCCTCAGAGTTTTTATTGCGTCAAGATAAAAATTGGGTAGCTAGCAGAACCAGTAAAAGACTGGCATTCAGCCCAGCACAATCAGGCCTTTCTTCACCTGTTTTATCCAAGAAGGCGAAAACAAACACAGCAGACCTGTAGTTTGTCACCAGGGAGTCTGTAATTACTGTGAGGAAGGAGGGGATTTAGTGAAGGCATTTCACTGCAGTTAGGTTTTCAGATCTTCAGACATGCACACCTGAAAACTTTTCCTGTGTATGCACTGAAATTTGTAAAAGTAAGCGAACTAGTGCATTAGACTTATGAACCCAGCTGTGCTTTTTTTCTTCTTAATTTTTTGGTGTAGTGTTTGGCTTTGTTCTTGTGTTTTTGTTTGCTTTCATGCTGTTTTGAGGAGTAATATTATGATAATTAAAGGTCATAGAGTGCCACAATTCTGGTGCATTGCAAAAGTATTCGTACATCTCAATCTTTTTCACATTTTGTCATGTTGCAACCGCAAATGGATTTTGGTGAGAATTTATGTGATAGATCAAGACAAAGTACTGAATAATTAAGAAAAACGATAACTTGTTTTCAGCCATTTTGGCATGGATTTTTATTCATTTCGGCTTCTCAGAAACTTTTACGGATCTGTTTTCTAATTTCAACAAACATTCCCAAATAAAAGTCCCCTGAAGTTTGTGTTTATAACATTCTTAAGGGATAGGAATACATTTACAAGGCACTATAGCCAGAGCTTGAATCTTCCCTCATTTTTTCTGCATATTCAAGTCAAAGGTCACAGGAAAAAGCAGCTACCGTTGGAATTGTCATGTTGAGTGTTTCCACCTGGAGCCATGTTCCCAGTCAAACCCATCTAACCGTAAAGTTCACCTGAGTGAATACTGTCATGTTCTGTCAGTGTGAACTTCCCCTGGCCTTCAATAGTACTCTCCCTGACATCAGAGTCCTTCCCTTCACTTATTCTGCTGTTTTCTAACTTTTTGTGACCACTGACTTGCTCCAAGCACAGGCTTTTGAACGCCTTTCTCTGTTTGTCCCTCTTTCCGTGGCTCCTAATTGCTCACGTACAGTTTTTGTTGCGAAGGTAAACATCTCAGCCTCCCAGGATGCTCATGTGACGCTGAGTTGGTGTCTCAGAGGAAATGTGTGTGTGTGTGTGTGTGTGTGTGTGTGTGTGTGTGTGTGTGTGTGTGTGTGTGTGTGTGTGTGTGTCTGTGTGTGAGCAGCAGGTTGCTTCTTTGCCTGGGCAGCCATATTGTGTTGATTCTCAACACACAGAGCTCGCTGGGTTGTAAATAACGTGACACCTCAGCCAAAAAGACACGAACAGGACCGTGAAGGGGCGGGAGTTGGTCAAGACAGCAGAAGGAAAGACGGACAAAAAAAAAAAGAAAGGTCTGACTCGGGGGGGAGAGACACTCAATCAGCTGGTAGTAAAGAAACGGGCAGGTGGATCTGACAGACCCATCACTCACGCTGAAATGCTTGACGGCGAAACTGTCAGTGAAAGTAGATGTGTTTGATCAAGTAGCTTACAAAGCGAGTGCTCTCTGATCTTATAGCTGCTGTTACAAAAATGTACATTAATAAGCAGAAAGAAGTTTTTTTTTTCCTCTGAAATTTTCATATTCATGACATCAGTAACATTTGAAAGCTTTGACAGCTTCGACAGTCATTAAAAGAAGGAAACTCAGCCCTGCAGAGCTCTACATAAATGACATCTGAAAGTGATGTTCTTAAAAAGTCAGTAAAAAAATTAACTAACACCCAAGACAGGATCTGAGGGGTTCATCATATTTTAATTGATCGTGCAAGATGTAAACAATATAATATTAGATTGTCAAAACTGTGATAGCATAAGTTAAAACTGAGAGAACTTGGTATTATCTGTCTGGCTCATTTTATACATTGCTGTTCTATGTTCTGACATCAGCTTTATTTTTTTACTTTTTCTTCAATTTAGCTTAATAAACTAGATTTAAAGCAGTAAGGGCAACCTGACTTCAGTGATGCTGCTGTTTGTCTTTATAGTCAAATCCTGAATTTGAATTTGACTAGCCAGTCTTAAGATAAGTGTACTTCATGGCTTAATAAACTTACGTA